ATAATCTAGTGTTCCAGTCTCCTCTCCATGAACAATGTCATGAGCGATGACACCAGGCATGTGTTTTACAAAGGACCTAGTTGGGGAAAGTCATGGGGATCTTAGAACATGGTACCTGTCTAGAGGAACTAGGCCACTGGGGATAGGGCTTTGAAGGTATTTTGTCTTTATCTGGCCTCTGTGCTAGTGTTTTGTGTGTGTGTGTGTATGTGTGTGTGTGTGTGGTGTGTGTGTGTGTATGTGTGGTGTGGTGTGTGCATGCGCATGTGTGTGTGTGTGTCCCTTCTTCGCTCTTCCTCCTCTCTCTCCCTTCCTCCTTTCCTTTATCTCCCTCTATTTTCTCTCTCATACCCACCCCATGAATAAACTTCACTGCCCACCTGCTCTTCCCGCTGTGATGTTCTGCAGCAAGGTGATCCCTCAGAACCCTGCAGTGGGACATGGCTCTTCCAAAATTTATGTGAACCTGGACTATCTCTATGTGTTTGGAATCGCTTGGTGAGGTGAGGTGCTGCATATTAGAGTGAACTCTAAGGCTCACACAGGAAGGACACGGCATCGCACAGAGACTTCCTCAGTGCTGTGACATCAGCCCTCAGCATCATGCCACAAACAGCTTAAGGGCACTTGGGCAAAACATCACACCAGAAAAAGTGTATGGTAGAGAAGAATATTCACAGCAGACAAGAAGCAGAGAGGGGGAGAGCAAGAGAGGCAGGAGCTCGGGTCAGCATATCATAAAATTCCCATGACCTCCCAAATGATCAGCAAATGAGCCTGAGGAAGACATTTTATATTCAAACTGTGATAAAGACCATGTAGAGGAGGAGGAGGAGGAGGAAGAGGAAGGGGCGCTAACTGAAGTGACACAGCTATAAACCGTTATAGCAGGAACCCAGAGAAACTGCAAGTGGCAAGGAAGGACTCCTCCTTAGGGCAGGCAGGGGAAGGGCAGCTCTGCTGGTGTCCTGATTTTACACTGTTCGTCACAAGAACTGCGAAAGTATCATTTCTGTTGCTCGAATCCAACCAATCTGCAGCATTGCAGCCTGTGAGGCATGGAAGCCGCCCTCCGTACTTTGAGTTGGCATCTGCTGTTTCTACTACAACTTCGTTGCATAGATATGGTGTTGCTGGATCTTATTGTTTCTGTAGGAAGATGGCGTTGTAATCAATGCTACCCCGAGACTTGTTTCTGCTCTCTTACTCCTGCCCTGTTCTCCACTCTCTGCTTTTTCTCCTTTAATATTTTCTGCTAGACCTTTCACAGCGACTCCTATTAACTGTGAACTCGGGTTCTAATCTTCTCTTATTCCCAAGCTCCACACTCAGGTTTTTTTCAACATCAATTTCTAAATTTAATCACTATCTACATCTCCTTTCCAAAAAAGACTAGCCTCCTTGGACCCATCAACATTCCACCATGGAAATGGAGGAGCTCACCAGACCTCTTATCTGTTGGGGGTGAGAAGTTATTGGCATTTAAGGATTGCTAGCGGGAGGAAGACTCAGAAAGCCACAGCCATCCCTGGACTTGATGGTCAATATGGGCAGGTAATGGTGGCTGGGGGAGGCAGAAGCATCTTCTTCAGTGTTTCCTAAGTTGTCCATGCTCCAGCATGTAGCTTAATTAAACATAATTAACACATGAAAGAAAGAAAGAAAGAAAGAAAGAAAGAAAGAAAGAAAGAAAGAGAGAAAGAAAGAGAGAAAGAAAGAAAGAAAAGATAGAAGTAGAAGACCTAATTTGAGGTTGGGAAGACAAATGGGATCAACACGAGTGAGAGGGAGACAAGAGAAAGTAATTGAGGGTGAATATAACCAAAATATATTAAATTTGTGTACAGAAATGTCATAATGAAATCCATTATTATGAATAATATATGCTAATAGAAAAACTGGAAAATGACAGAGGGTTTCAGCATACTTTTACTCCCTCTGGTTCCATTCTCCATCTCCCACCAGTTTGCATTTCTTGGAATATTTTAGAAAAATTTTAATTTTATATTTGATTTTTAAATTTTTGACTAATATATATTAGTTGCACACATTAATAAAGCAACAATTCTGGAGGAAAGTGAAACATTCTAGAATCAGATAGTAGTGTCTACTCAGCTCTATGATTATCTTTAAAAGAACTGAATTATATGCTTTAAAGGATTATTTTATTGTATTATTTTGTTGAAACATTTTCTCCAGGAATTTCTCAAAAGAGTATCAGTGTACAGTATAACTTTTGCAGCCTTTTATGCCAGAGAACATATTTATCCCACTTCCACATTTCAATAGAGTTCAAGTAGATTTAAAAGAAAAAGTCAAGATTCAAATTTCCTTTATTAGAAAAAAGAAGAACTTTGAAGCTGAATGAATTGGTACAATCTTAGGGCAGAGGAAAGAGATTCAAAAATTTGAAAACAAGCTGGATTACATACATGACCAAACCCTATCCAAAAAAGTCAAGGGCTTAGGGACATAGCTCGGGGATGGCATACATACAAGACTCTGTATTTGATGAGAGTGTGAGAGAAGAAAAGACACTGTTAGATACAGGAGCCCGGATGTTACTGTTAAAAACTCAAATGTCATGGCTGGAAAGATGGCTCAGTGGGTAAATGCGCTTGGTGTTGCAGCAGAGGCCCTAACTTCAGTCCCCAGCACCCAAATAGCAGCTCACAGGGATCTTTAAGTTCAGTTCCAGGGAATCTGGTACCCTCTTGTGGCTGTCTCTGGTACCAGACATGAAATTGGTATACACACGTGCACACACGCACACACACACACACACACACACACACACACACACACACACACACACACGAAGACAAGCACTCAAACACAGAAAAATAAAAATATTTTAAAAGTCAAATGTTAGTCTGACTCGTTCTTTTTCTAAACAGCCTCTCTTTCTCTGGAATTATTTTCTTTCCTTAAATTTTATTGTGCTCAAGTGTTGATATTTCCCCATCTGTCTTTTTTTTGGTAAGTAGTGTCTTTTAATTTTCCCTTCATTGTGGAGAAATTTTAATTACTGGTTCTTCAAATGTTTATTTTTTTCTCTGTCCTTCTTACATCCCCTATTAATCACGCTGATATTTATTCACTTCTCACACTCTTTTATTTCTGTCTCATTTCTCCAGCCCTTTATCCCTTCTGTGAATGCTTCAAACCAGCTCATTAATTTGTTCAACTGTATGCATTTAAGCCATGAGTTAAGTGACTGAAGAGGCAGGCATTGTTTTCTAGAAGTAGAGGAATGGTAATGGCCAACGGTGTGAAAGGAATTCACAAAATATAATTATAGCCACAATTTCTTAGAACAGCAGTGCTTTGTGCTCCTTAGCTTTTTCCATCCCCTCCATAGATCGCTTCATAAGCCTGATTTGTACAAAAATAGTTGTTGAAAACAAAAGTTAAGATATTTATCAGTGTGGCTAACACTGATGAATATCTTGCATATCACCATAGAACCCTCATCTGACGATGGATGGAGATAGAGACAGAGACCCACATTGGAACACTGTACTGAGCTCCCAAGGTCCAAATGAGGAGCAGAAGGAGGGAGAACATGAACAAGGAAGTCAGGACCACGAGGGGTGCATCCACCCACTGAGACGGTGGGACTGATCTAATGGGAGCTCACCAAGGCCAGTTGGACTAGGTCTGATGGAGCATGTGATCAAACCGGACTCTCTGAATGTGGCTGACAAGGAGGGCTGACTGAGAAGTCAAGGACAATGACACTGGGTTTTGATTCTACTGCATGTACTGGCCTTGTGAGAACCTAGTCTGTTTGGATGCTCACCTTCCTAGACCTGGATGAAGTGGGGAGGACCTTGGACTTCCCACAGGGCAAGGAACCCTGACTGCTCTTTGGACTGGAGAAGGAGGGGGGAGGAGGAATGGGGGAGGAAGAGGGAAAGGGGAGGAGGGGAAAATTTTTAATAATAATAATAATATAAATAAAAGTTTGGAAAAAAAGAAAAGAAAAGAAAAGTTAAAAAATTAAAATTTGAGCCAAATCCATGGTGACTCCCACCTGTAACCCTGGCACCTTAGGAGGCTGAGGGAGGGCAGTTAGGAGTTTAATGCCGCCAGCCTGGATTACATGAGACCCTGCCTCAAAAGAATATAAATAAATAAATAAATAAATAAATAAATAAATAAATAAATAAATAAATAAATAAAATTTAGTTTAAACATTTTTATATTTTTAACACAGTATATCCCCAAGATGAGAAGCACCCTGAGTTTTTCTAAGTCAGTCTAGACATCTCTGGTCTAAAACTATCCTGGACCTTGGGTAGCTGTGTGTTCTGACCTACCCTTGTGTTCTTGCTCTGTCGAGAGCTGTGTATCAGACACTCTTTCAGATGTCCGCCCCTTCCTTTTGATTGGACATCGAGCTCCTCAATAAACACGTGTAGAACACTTCTCACACAGCTGTCCTAGCTGCCAGGAATCCAGCAGGAGGCGAGAGTTCAGCACCTCTCTCGAACCCTGTCGAGGCCGCTCCTAATAGAACGGAGGCCTTTTCTGTGTTGTTTCCTCTGTATCCCGGGCTTCTAGGACAGCGGAACCACAGACTGAATGCTAAACAGGTAAATATCGAACACTGATTACACGTGCATTCATTGTCATGAAAAGGAAGTGCAGGTGTTGACGGGCACATGAATGAGAAGTCGACCTGCTGCAGGAGACTGCATAGAGCGATTTCTCTGGCAAGAGCATTAACAGCTGAGAGAGATGTTCATTCAAAGTGTTCCTTGCCACTTTAAACAACAGCACCTGGCTCCCGCTCAGGCCCTCCTAAAGCGCATGGGCTTCAATAGCTCAAAATGGCCGTGATCGATTCCTGTAATGAGAAACTGGATTACTTATTCAATAACATCACCAATATTTAGAAATACGAAAAGGCCCAGTCGAACAATGCTTGTTTGTGTTTCTGGTTCCTTCCCTGCCTGAACCCGCCACAACCACCCATTTTCTTTTCTGACCTGCAGATGAAGGAGCCTCTGCGCACCCTTGTGATGATACTTACTGCGGTCCTTTCCCGGAGTCTGAGCCGGAGGTGAAGGCTGTCGCGGACTTCCTTCGGAAACACAGAAAACGCATTCGAGCCTACCTGTCCTTTCACGCCTACGCACAGATGCTGCTGTATCCCTACTCTTACAAACACGCAACCATCCCCAATGTCAGCTGTGTGGTAAGTATGTGTTTCTGGATGTGTGTGTCAGGCCTCGTGGTGCTTCTGAGTCCTAGCAATAGCCGCAAATGTGTCTATTCAAGTATGTTATATTCATGAACTCATTTGTTCTTCATATATTTTCATGCTCCCACTTTACAGATGAGAAAATGGAGACCACTAAGCAACTGGGCTAAGAACTTTCTGGGTCATTGCTATGACTTTCTGAGTCATAGCAATGACTCAGCCCCAAGTCAAGCTCCAGGATTGTTGCTTTTAACTGCTATACTGCTTCCCAAATGTAATTGTTTCAAACCTGTTTTACATTCTTACCACAGGTTATACAGAAAAGGTCAGGGTGGATTTGATTAATATTATAGCTTTGGCCACATATGCAGGGCTTTAATTAACTTTATTGAGTCAATAATTGTTCATAAATTATAGTCTGACTCAATAATTAAAAGCAAGTTTTAATTTTTAAGTGTTGTTTGCTTAATGCTGCTAAATCTCTGGGCACATAGCTAACATACACTATTAAGGACGAATGGACTTTCAGGGCTAGATGGCATAAAAGCAAAAAAGACGAGATGAAATTCTTCTTCCTTATCTCGCAAATGCAACAAGCGACTCCCTACAGGGCATCATTCACTGTTAAGGGAGCCACTTCAGAACCTATAGCCCAGGAAAGCCAATAAAGTTCAAAACGAAGGAAAACTAATAAATAGTGTTAGAAGTCAAAATAGCAATTACCTTTGGGGGAAAGAGAGGGGTGGGGTGACTAGGGAAGCTCGGGGAGTTCTGGGTTATGGCTGTTATTCTGTTCCTTGACCTGGAAGGTTAGAGGCATGTGTTCAATTTGTGGTCATTTACTGAGCTATAAACGTAATGTTTGTGGTTGCTTTTTCTTTTTCAACTCCTGACACTAAATGTGTGGTGCCTTTTCCAACATGTTTCTCCAACACTAACTAAGGGGCCAATTCAATTTCAGTTCTGACACTAACTGCCCAGAGCAGCCGTCAGACTCCACAAGTTAATAAAGTCCCCTGAGAAGGCATCCGCTTCAGAGACCAACTTCAAGCAGGGAATTTCAACACTTTTGTGTAACTAAAGAGTCCAAGGTTCCCATAACCTGCCTCCTCTGTTTTTATAATTTCCTGGAACAACTCAGAGATCCTAGAGAAATGCTTTACTTACTGTTACCAACATATTAAGCACATAACCCTGGAATAGCCAAAGAGAAAGCACTCATAACGCACGTCTCAGCAGAGGCAGGAGGTCACAGCGCTCACTTCTGTCCAGCATGACCTCTGTGCTCACCGAACCAGAAGACTCCAGACTCGGCTGTCTAGGGATATTACAGGTTTCCCTTAATATGGCACAATCAACCAAATTATGGCCCGTGCATAATCCAACTCCCTCTCTTTGACTGCTATCATAGGGATGAGGGATGCAGTTGGCACCTATGACGTAGAGGCCAAAGATGCTGTTAAACATGCCGAAATGCACAGAACAGAACCCCACCCTCATCACAGCCCTTCATCATTCAATCTACAAGGGAAGAGTGACATTGTTTTTAAAATCTGGGGTGGAGACTGTCAAGATAATGGCTCAAAGGTTAAGGGTGCTTGTTGTTACAAACATGAGGACCTGAGTTCAGATCCCCAGTGCCCTTGTAAAAAGCCAAGCATGGTCTTATATACATCAGAAATGCCAGCACTTTGGGGGACGGAAATATAAAATTGCTGAGGCATGTTGGATACCAGCCTAGCCAAAAAATAACTGAGTTCCCAGCTCAGGAAGAGACCCTGCCTCAAAATGTGGCAGCATGATAGGATGCCAACACCTTCTCTGACCACACACACACACACACGCACACACTCACATACACACAGGTCCATGCACCAACACAAACTTCACACATACTTATAATACAACGGTATATGGGGTGAAGTGAGGGAGAAAAATCTGGAATGGGCTAAGCATAAACAAAATCATTAAAACTAGGATGAAAATTTTCAGAAACGAAGAAAACTCTGAATGTTAATAAGAAATCATTACATGCTATTAAAATTCTTTAAAATGTTGCACTAATTTGTAAGAGTCTGTGCTTTTGATAATATTTTAAAGTCATCCACTAAACTACTTTAAATATGGAAATATTTCAATAAAACTGTGCTTGCTCAGCTGAGGGCCAACAAATGTCCTTTCAACAGTTGGAAGAAGGAGACGATTGTGAAAGGGAGAGATCTCTTACGAGCTGAAGGTTCAGGGGTATGCTTTGACGCCAACAGCTGCACCCTCCAACCAGTGTTGACGCTTGGTAGAGCTTGAAAGTCCAAAGACAGGCCCTCCAGCTCACCAGGGAGCCTCCACCTCACCAGGGAGCCTCCACCTCACCAGGGACCCTCCACATACCTCACTGCTGCGGTTGGTTCTTCCCCTCTGTCCCTCCCAATGTACTAGGGAGAGACAGAGCAACAGCATTAAGTACCCCAGTGGGTAAGATGGTGAGAGAATCTCGGGAGTGGAGAGAAAATCTGCCCAGCCCACAGGGTTCGAGCCTAAGTGTAGACATCCCGAGAGGACATCAGACACTGGTCCAATACAGGCTCAACACTAGCAAGAAAACTCACAAGATAAAACCAAACCAAACCACACCAAAAAGACAATAAAAAAAATAAACAAAACAAAAATACCCAACAGATTTCCCAAGAAAGTTCTGAATGTACAAATGTATAAAGTTCAGAAGTTCAAATGTACAAATGGATTCATTTATGAAGCAGGGAGTGGTTAAAAGAGGAAAACTTTTATTTTAAAATATTTAAAGGTATAGTTAAAAAGAAGAAAAGGAGTTGACACAGGCAAGAGAGGAGAACAGCATAAAGTAATCACTGTATAGTGAAAGCATATATAAACAAGGTTAGGGGATTATATAAAGGGACATAAAACATAAAAAGAGCTTTTTTCTCTCCACAACAATGTTCTCCACTACCCTTCTTCTGCCTTTTATTTAATCTTATTTCTTCTGTACTAAAGAAGACTCAGGAGACGGAATACTTCGCATGCTCATAAACAGATAGAATTAAAGTTATGAAAATGCCTGTATTACCATAAGCTATCTACAGAGTTAATATAATCCCTATCACAATTTCAGTAACATGGAACTGGAGAGATGGCTCACCAGTTAAAAACACTGGCTACTCTTCCAGAGGTCCTGGGTTCAATTTCCAGAACCCACGTGGCAGTACACAACTATCTGTAACTCCAGTTTCAGGGGGATTTGATGCCCTATTCTGACCTCCTGAGGCACCAGGCATGCCTGTGATACACAAACATACATGCAGAAATACGCATACATATACAAAGTCAAAATTAAATACTTTTAAAATATTTTTAAAATTCCAATAACAACAGTTACAGAAGTAGAAAAGGCAACTTTAAAACTCGTATATAAGGATAACAAACCAAATATCCAAAGCAGATAAAACAGGGACATCAAAATTCCTCATCTCAAGTTATACTACAGTCAGAATAGCAAAAACAGCATAGTGCTAGCTTAAAAAGTAGACGTGTGGACCAAAAGAGTAAAATGGAAGATACACACCCACCCTCCCACACACACACAATATCCTCACATGTGGTGGTCTGAATGAAAATGGCCCCCACAGATTCATAGGGAATAACACTATTAGAGATGTGACCTTGTTGGAGTAGGTGTGACCTGGTTGGAGGAGGTGTGACCTGGTTGGAGGAAGTGTGTCACTAGAGGCAGGTTGGAGGTTTCAGAAGCTCAAGCCAGGCCTAGTGGCTCACTGTCTCTTCCTGCTGCCTGCCAACCCAGATGTAGGACTCTCTGCTGCCTCACCCAGAGCCCCATGCTTCCCCCGTGATGATAATGGACTAAACCTCTGACTTCTAAGCAAGATGAATTAAATGTTTTCCTTTATAAGAGTTGTCAGGGTCGTGGTGTCTCTTCACAGCAATAGAAACCCTAACAGACATCACACAAGCCGCATAGTTATTTTCACAGGTTTCAAATAACACTCACTGGCATGAAGACAGCCTGCTCAGAAAATTGTGCAGGGAAATTGAGATAACCATGTGTAGAATAATAAAATTACTACACCTAATCTCTCGTCTTACTCAAAAATAAATTAAAAATGGATCAATGTTGTTGGAGGTTGTTTGTTTGTTCCCAGCAGCCCAGACCCAAAATAACTACACAGAAACTATATTAATTGCAACACTGCTTGGTCAATGACTCTAGTGTATTCTTAGCTAGTGCTTACATCTTAAATTAACCCATTCCTATTGTTTTATATTTTACCACAAGGCTAATGGTATACCAGTACCAACGTGGGTGGCTTTCTCCTCTGGTGGTTACATGGTGTCTCCCAGACTCCACCTACTCTCTCTCTCCTCTGCTTGGAATTCCTTCCTTGCCCTATTCTGTGCTGTAATAGGCCAAAGCAGATACTTTTTTAACCAATGGTATTCACGGCATACAGAGAGGCATACCATATCACCTCCCCTTTTCTGTTTAAATAAAAAGGAAGGTTTTAACTCTAGCATAGCAAGAATACATACAACAAAACAGTTATTAAACAAGAAATAAAGTTACAATATTTGGTTCATTTATGTTTGTCAAATTAAAGAAAATACTCAATCATCTATCCTATCTTTGTGAGTCTAAAGTTTTATATCTAATCTATCTTTTATCATAAGTAAGAAAAACTATAACTAGGTATTCTTCAACTCCATCAAAGAGTCCAGAAGGATATAATATTACCTAAGTTAACAGGAAGTACATTGTAAGCAACTTCCAAAACTCTAGAATTGACAGAGACATCTCGCTGCCTGGACAGTCACCCAAAGTTCTTCTGTAACATTGGGACATCCATCTTCAGCCTACAGGCCCATAGTATCCGGCAGACTTTTCCATGAAGCAGGAAATTTCAAAGACAGTTCCACCTATATTGACAGCTTGTCAGTCACTTTTTTCTGTGTCCTACAAAATATCTGGCAGACTCTTTAATGAAGCAGGAACCCTGAAGGACTGCCTCACCTTTAGGTAAATTCAGCAGTCATTTTTCTGTGGGTCCTGCATGTCCAGTTCATACAGCATAACATCAAACAATCCAGGCAAGAGCAGTTTCCTGCCCAAATGGTTAGCAAACTCCATAAGGAGCCTCTTGATGGCCATCATCCTCTTGAAGTAAATTGGTGCTGCCAGGAGCAGATGTGTCTCATTGTCATGAAAAGTCCTAAATTCTTAAAACATTTTAAATGCCACATTCTGTTAGTTTTTGAAAGGTTTGAAAAATGCCTAGCCATCTGAAATATATCTCTGTACATCTAGAAAACCTAATTAACATGACTACAAACTTGACTGTAAAATATGATAATCTATTAATCTGTGATCTGTGCACACCCCAGTTCCAGGTATGCAGCAGGTCTGTCATGTCATTAAGCATTTTTTAACACATTGTTCACAAACCCCATTCAAGTGCTTGGCCTCCTGAGTCAGAGTTCATGCTGGAAGCATGAATCAGGAAGCCGCTGTTTCTTTAGCACACAGTGTTCTGCTGCTAATGCAGAATCAGGAAGACCTCTCTCTCACTCACTCACTCTCTCTTTCTCTCACATTTTTTTTTTTTTGAGACAAGGTTTCTCTGTAGCTTTGGAGCCTGTCCTGGAACTAGCTCTTGTGCTCTTGTAGACCAGACTGGCCTCAAACTCACAGAGATCTGCCTTCCTCTGCCTCCCAAGTGCTGGAATTAAAGACGTGCATCACCACTGCCCAACAGAAACACCTCTCTTAAAGAAGCCACAGCGCCCCTGTTTGCCACCAGCAAACAGAGCCTACCTGAAAAAATGTGGCTACCGAGAAACTGCACTTAACGCTGTTCTCTTGTGCAGAGAAGTCCTTTGCAAACTCTCTCGGGTTTTCTGCAGATGTGGTTGGCACACAGCACACCATTCTGTTGTTGGAGGCTGTTCTTTCGTTCCCAGCCACCCAGACCCAAAATAACTCGACAGAAACTGTATTAATTGTACTACAGCTTGGCCAATGACCCTAGTATATTCCTGGCTAGCTCTTGCATATTAAAGATCAAAGGCCAAAACATAAAGTTTTGAGACTCCTAGAGAAAAATATGTGTAAAATATTTCAAGATACAGATGAGGATGGTCTGAAAAGAACTCCAATAGCACAAGACGTAATCCCCCAAACCAGGAAAGGGGGTTCCCTGAAATTAGAACCTTTCTGCACAGCAAAGGGCAGAGTCAGCGGACTGAAGGCGCCTAAGAGATGGGGAAGAAATCTTTGCCGACTATGTATCAGTTTGTGACTGAAAGCTAGAATATGCAGAGACCTCCCAAAATCAAACATGCCCATCAATATGTGGACTAATGATGGAGTATGCTTCCCCTGAAAATTACAAGTGGCCAATAAATATATGAAAACATGTTCAACATCAGGAAAATGCAAATTAAAATTGCCTTGAGAGGCCACCTCACTCCAGTCAGAATGACTGTCATCAAGAAAACCAACAATGCCTGCTCGTGAAGATACGGTGAAAGACTAACCCTTGTACTCCATTGGTAGAGCCATAAACCACACAACCACTGTGGAGGTTCCCCAAAAACTAAAAATAGAGCTCCCATCAGGGCCAGCTGTGCTGTACTTGGGCACCCAGCCAAAAGACTGCCTCAACAGGCATGATCACTGTTACTTTGTCACAACAGCCAGGGTCTGGGACCAGCCCTCCTTCACCAACACATACATGAGGAAGATGCATCCCACAGACATAATGGAGATTTATTCCGCTATAAAGAAAAATCGTGACATTTGCAGGAAAAAAATGGATAAAACTAAACAGCATTATGATAAACACAAGCCAACTCAACAAGACAAACGCCTCCTGTTGTCTCTTACATGAAGACCTTGATATAAAAACTTTTGGGGCGAACGTGGGGTGAGGGTGAGTATGGGTGTGTATACTAGCTGTGAAACTCTAAGAGGATCCTGAAAAGAAAGGAAGAGATCTTAAGGAAAGAGAGGGTAATGCAAAATACGCGGCATAGAAGTAGAAAGGGGGTCTACAGGGAGGGAGGGCAGGGAAAACAGGGAGAAGGGTGAATTATAACAAAGTATCATGGTACATGTTTGAGAATTCCACCATGAAGTCCATTCCTCTGTATGCTAATTTAATAACAATTAAAACTGCACAAACCTTGTTTAAATAAGCCAAGTGGCACTTTGTTTCTTAATACACTTTTTTCATAAAAAATAATGAAAAGACGAGTCTTCTAAATGCAGTCATCTAATTGTAGAGACATCTGCATTGGCCTCGGCATATTGCTAAGACTATTGGAGACAATATGGAACTTTTCCATAGACTCCTCATGACAATGTTTACATTTCCTTATTGACTCCTGTGAGTACGTCACCATCAGTGAGATCACTCTGAAATGGTCTGCCAGTGCCTGGAGTCCTGCCCTGAAGTAGCCACAAAGCCACAAACAAGGCCACATGTATTCATGAGCTTGGCAAGAGCAGCAACCCGAGGCTCAGTCCACTACACACCATCGTGCCCCCCAGGGTGCTTCCTAAGAAGCATTAAATTATTCACCAGCAAACCGAAACGGGAGAGCTGTGTGCTGGTTTCAGTTTATGTCTTTCCTCCTGTTTGTCATCTGATACTTGCTTTGTTTGTCTAGACCCTCGCTAAAACTGGACCTCTGATAGCATCTGGAAGACTTTTAAAGAACAGTACCATTCTGTTGGAATAGCCACCACTTAGAATTTTGATCTTGTTAAGGGGTGTGTGTGTGTGTGTGTGTGTGTGTGTGTGTGCGCGCGTGTGTTTTGTGGTGGTGGTTTATTCACTGATTTTCTGCATCTTAGCAGCTGCTTGACTTAGCTATGTGAGAGGCTTTGTAACATCAGAAGTCAGGAGGTGCCATTAAATTGATATTCCTGTTCCCAGGAGGAACAAACCCATGGCATGAAGGTAGCCAGTCTCCCTTCGTGGTTTCTTAACTGATCCAGATGCATTTGAAATATCTGTCTATTCGTACTGAAAAATATACTTGTGGATCAATATGATTGTCTGAATACTCTTGCAGACTTATGCTTCTTCAACATTTCTTTGAGAAATATCGATTAAGTATCTGCTACATACACAGACATGTTGCTAAGGACAGGATATGAATTAGAGATAATGTTGACATTGTCGCAGCCCCGTCAGCTATTTTGAAAAGCACGGAAATAAGTGCTCCTGACCTAAAGGGAACAGGATAGAATGCATGAGCGGCTTCAGGAAACATGAGTACTTGTCCTAGCTTACCCGTTCTTTGCTGGGTCACCCCAGGATACCCGTTTCACCGCACTGAACCTGCCTTTTCTTAGCTACAAAACAGAACTGCTGTTATCATTGGTTTGTGTGAGGATCAACCACATCAAAAGTTATGTTTTAAAACGTGCTTTGATCCTCAGCACTGTAAAAAATAATAGTGGGTTGTAAAATATACAATTAACATCACATTATTATTATTAGATATAGCTGTTGACTAGTGAGCCCTCTCTTCTGTTTCTGTTGACCACCAGTAAGGCTCAAGCAATCAGCCGGTGATCCTAGAAGTTTCAATGCCGCAGTGTGACACACTTTCTCCATTCTGCCCTCCCAGGGATTTGCAGCTCACAAAGCAGTGAAGGCACTTCGGTCAGCACATGGGACACAGTACAGACATGGCCCTGCCTCCCAAACACTGTGTAAGTTCCCCGTGCATGTCCTATAGGATCGTCTCTCTTGAGCCAATGTCCTGTGCCATGACTTCCCTTTAAGAAGTGTGTTCTCCCTAAAGCAAAATCTGTGATGGTCAGAGTAGCCAGAGACGATGGGAAGAACTGATATCTGATTCGTTTTTCACAGCTTGACAAAAATCGCTGTACCAATTTAAACCAATTCTAAGCAGAGAACATGCTAAGCATACGGTAATGACGGTAATGACGGTGGAAAGCATCAAAATTGGGTTCCTTAAGCAATCTGTAAGTACTGTAAGTGTGGAAATGGCCTCAGGAAGATAATGAAGTAAATGTTTCAGCTCTCCGACAGCTTCCCTTTTGTCCTTTATCTCCTCCGTCCCTGTTATGAAATGCCATTTCGTATACAGCATCTTCATCTCGAGTTTCATTTGAAGATTAACTTTAAAGTATTTCTTTTATATAAAATAAAAAGGAATCAAGTATATAGAAAGAACTTGGACATTGTCTGGTATGGATTCTCTTCTTCAGTCTCTCAGTTGTGTCGTCCTGGCCAGGGTATGGATTAGTTCTCGTTTTTCACTTCTCCAAATGCAATGTGAGAAATAGGATTACATCATTCCTCGTGGCCTTCCAATTCTACAATTTATTTTTATTGGAAAAATCTAATAAGCAATCATATGAATAATATGAATTCTGTGAGCATGTGGTCACATGCTGTATGTCTATGAACAGGTACCTGAAATCTGATTATGTTCCTCCCATAAGGCCAAATTTCTCCTTGGTTCCTTACCACAGTTTCACTGGCTTACCCCTCATTTTCATCAACAAAGGTAAATTTGCTCATTAACATTATAGGTCAAATAAGTTTATATTAAGAGTGAGAAGGGCACAAGGGTCAATGGTTTCATTCCATAATAAATGATCATAGATCCACGCTGACCCTTTCAAATGGTTTCAACTCCCTCCCCTATCGACCTTCCCACCTGCCTCCCATGTTTCTTCCCTCCCTCTACCCACCCTCCACTTTTCTCTCTGACCCACCCTTCCTCTCTGTCCCTCCTACTCCCTCCTTCCTTTCTCACAGGGTCTTGATATTAAATTAAGCTTGCCTTAAATTTATCTTCTTTGTGCCCCAGCTACTATACCTGACTTTAGAATTGCTATTTAGTAGTTATCCTGAAAGGGGAAAGCGGTATTTACAACCAAACCCATACCAGCTGATACCAGTGTAATACCTACACTGACAATTTTAAATCATTTCCAAGTCTTACCAGAATGTTCATCTCGGTACAAAGCATAGCCACACTATTATGTTTACAGAGAACAATCTGTTACCATAGAAATGAGCCTGTCGCATCCCCATGATGTAATGCTTGGCACCTGCTATCTCTGTTTGCACTCATCTATTTGTTCTCTATCCGGAGGGACACTGAAGCCACGGCACATTTTCTGTCCTTAGCCAAAGCCAGAAGAAACTGAGAAGTAGCAGATCTCTGTGGTTGTCCCCTTCATATAATGAGTCCATTGTACCTTGTGCCTAGGAAATTGTATTAAAAGGCACATTGTTGCCAGGCATGATGGTACATACTTAATAATCTCAGCACTCTGGAAGTAAAGGAAAGGACTGATGAAAGCCATCTTGGTCTATATAGTGAGTTCTGGGCCAGTTTAGTCCATATAGCAAGTTCCAGGCCAGACTGGGGCTACATAATGAGACTCTGTTTGGTTTTTGTTTGTTACTGTTGTTGTTTGTTTCATTTATAAAAGAGACCAGATGGTGGTGGTGCACACCTTTAATTCCAGCCCTCAGGGGGCGGAGAGCAGAATCTCTGAGTTCAAGGCCAGACTGGTCTACAGAGTAAGTTCTAGGACAGTCAAGGCCACAAAGGCTACACAGAGAAACCCTGTCTCAAAAACCGAAAAACAAAACAAAACAACAAAAAAGGAGCTCATTGGTCAGTGGATAAAGTGTTTGCTGTAACAAATGTGAAGACCAGATTTAAATTCTCAGTACTCTAGCTGGAAAGGTTGTGCGGTAAAGGGAACGCTCCTCCATTGCTGGTGGGAGTGCTAGGTGGTACAGCCCCTTTGAATGTCAGTGTGGCGATTTCTCAGAAAATTAGGAAACAACCTTTCTCTAGATCCAGTAAGTAATACCACTTTTGGGTATATATCCAAAGGATGCTCAACCGTGCCACAAGGACATAGTTATGTTCATAGCAGCATTGTTTGTCATAGCCAGAACCTGGAAACAACCTAAATGCCCCTTGACCAAAGAATGGATAAGAAAAAATGTGGTACATTTACACAATGGAGTACTACACAGCAGAAAAAATAATGACATCTTAAAATTTGCAGGCAAATGGATGGAGCTAGAAAACATCATATTGAGTGAGGTAACCCAGACCCAGAAAGACAATTATCATATGTACTCACTCATAAGTGGTTTTTAAACATAAAGCAAAGAAAACCAGCCTACAAATCACAATCCCAGAGAACCTAGACAACAATGAGAACCCTAAGAGAGACATACGTGGATATAATCTACATGGGAAGTAGAAAAAGACAAGATCTCCTGAGTAAATTGGGAGCACGGGGATCATGGGAGAGGGTTGAAGGGGAGGGGAGAGGAAGGGAGGGAACCAGAGAAAAATGTAGAGTTCAATAAAATCAATTAAAAAAAATCCTCAGTACTCACAGGGCAGGAAGGGGCTCAACAGGAGTGAGAGAACAGGAGGGGTGAAGGAAATAAGGGGGCTTCGGGAAACAAAATTCCAATGTCCCAGACCTTGAAAGAAAATACTGAGTTATAGAACAACAACGGGCTCTCAGTGTAGCTGGATTATTGTTGCATAAAGTGAGAAAAACAAGGGTGAAGATAAGTGTTGTGGTTACTGGGGCTGAGAAACTTGGGGAGCATCACATTGGCACAGATCCATGCTTAGACCAGATCCCCAAAGATGACAGCAAGTATGCTTTGTAAGGCCCATGAGGCAGATGCCGAAGAACTACTGCTAATTTAGTCTTCTAATTTCTGTCCACTGTTACTTTGTGTGTGGAAGCGTGTATGTGGAGGGCATAGGACAGCTGTGTGGAGTCAGTTCTTGCCTCCCATCTTCACATGGGTTCCATTTTCAAACTCAGGTCCTTTGCAGCGAGTTTATCTGCTCAGCCATCTATCTCGAACCATACTTGGTAGGGTGCTATTTCATTGGAAGGATTTGGTAGAGTTTAGTGAACATATATATATTGTGTGTGTGTGTGTGTGTGTGTGTGTGTGTGTGTGTGTGTGAGAAAACTAATGCAGACTCTTTAGTGAAGTGACCCTTTCTTTTTAACTTTTAGACGTAAGCTCCGGTAACTCAATGGATTGGGCTTATAAAAATGGAATACCCTATGCATTTGCTTTTGAACTGCGAGACACCGGGCAATTTGGATTTCTACTGCCAGAGAAGCTCATTAAACCGACCTGCACAGAGACCATGCTGGCTGTGAAGAACATCACAATGCACCTGCTAAGGAAGTGTCCCTAAGAGAAACCCAGGTCTGGTCTACCAAGCCAGAGAAAACAGATTCTGACCAAAAGGCTGCTTGGTAAAAGTAACTGTTTAGACTGGAAGGATTCATGGACCTTAAAAGGATCTTTTCATGCAATTTGACACTTTATAACAACAGAAAATTAGGGCAGAGCCTGCGTTGGTATGAGAAGAAAATCCACTTTATATCCCTTTAGAGTCTTATTTGATTACATTGGGAAGGGAATGTTTTCAAATTCCTTTGTCTCAAGAAGTGTACAAATTACTTGAGGATTTCCCTTCAATCAAGCTCTATGCCTTTGATTTAGATCTAAGTTACCAGTGACGTAATTACTTGGTTCTTATTTGAAATGGAAAGAATCATCTGTATTTCTTAATAAATACATAATTTTTCAAAGACTAACATTATTCACACATTCATCTCAGTTTAGAGCACTGGATCCCACCTATACAAAGTCTGGCAAGTGTTTCGATAGAGTCACAAGGCACAGCAGCTGTGGTTCCCTGTGCGACACAGACCCCAGCTGTTCCACCTGTGAGAATTCCTACCCAGGCAGAGGGTCGGGGGGGGGGGCCGGGGGGAGAGTGACAGACAGGGGAGAGGGGACTAGGCGCTGTGGGAACTCTTCTGGGCAGGTGGGAAATTGCCATTCCAAAGGTAAAACAAAGCCTACAGCTAAATTACCGGCTGAAAGCGGAGCTAGCACAGAAATTAGCAGGAAGCTTGGCTGGCTAACATAAACAGTCCTTGCAATTTGCACCTCCAAGAGCAGGGGAAAACCCAGGATCCTACAGGTCCCCCTTTTATATAAATTATATGACTAGGCCTGCCTTGCATCTCTCGAGTTTCTGCCTCTAGGTCTATAGGGGCGAAAGCAGTAGCACAAGGATTAGGGGTGGCAAAAAATGTTTTTTGTGGTGGAGGTCTCATCGGGAGATCTCTGTTTGCTACCTCGCTTTCCTCTTTTTCTAGCTGCTTATTTAAAAGTGCGATCTCCTCTTCTAGAATTTCTTCTTCCTCTTCTATATCCCCAATACTCCTAACTTCCTGCTCCTCAAAACTCCTAATAGAACTCACAGATTCTGCTTTCTGAATCTCCTCAAGGGTTTTGTTCGAAATCTCTAACTGCTCTTTCACTATCACATCATTACTGAGGAGAGCATCTCTGATTAAACGCCATAGCAAAAAACCTGCTAGGGGAAAAGCTCTAGGTCCTTGTTCTTTCAGTGCATTATGAAGATCAGCCTTCACCTGCTCCCAATCTGTGATATTAAAACCTCCTGCAAGTAGGAACCAAGGACTAAACTCTGAAACCGTCTTAACGATCTCTTGTGCTGTCTCAACCTTGATACCGGTGCCTAGTGTCTCCAAAAGACCTAACAACTGACCTGTTAACCGGCCTTTTAAAACTGGAGCAGAAATACCCATACCCATTTAGCCAATACACCCTCGCTACCACTATTGCTGGCCAGCCTTCCGAGGGCGACCTCACAGATCCTTACCTTCCAAAAACTCACAGATGGGCCCCACAGACGAGTAGAATGTAGCTGCTTTCTATCCCAGCAGCGGCCTCCAATTGTACACCCAGCAACACTGAATCGTGGCCCCAGGAGGAGCACCTGAGGTTCACCCCTAGCTGAGACTGTATGGGAAGTTAAGGACTGCTAGGGGACAGGGAGGTCACTTTTCTCTAGGTGTGTAGCCATTGGCAAGTCTCTTATGATCTAGTAAATAATCCCACACGTGTGTACATGCAAACAAACAACCCTAATTAAACCCTAGGTTATTTTTAAAGAGTGAGAAAGAAGAAGAATGTAATAGAAAAAAAGATATCCAAAAGTAGTAGGGCAGGGTTAAGAGAGGAGAAGGGAATGACTGATCTAAACACATTGTTTACATATATAAAATTGTCGAAGAATAAAAATCAGCAAGATTGAGTGACTGATATTTATATTCTGAGAATCCCACTTTAAAAAAATAAAAGTTAGTAGGGTGGTGGTAGCCCACACTTTTAATCCCAGTCACTTGGAGGCAGAGACAGGTGGATCTCTGTGAGTTCGAGGCCAGCCTGATCTACAGAGCAAGTTCCAGGACAGCCAAGGTTACACAGAGAAACCCTGTCTCAAAAAATAAAAAGTAGAGAAAGGAGAGAAGGAAGGAAGGAAGGAAGGAAGGAAGGAAGGAAGGAAGGAAGGAAGAAGAAGAAGAAGAAGAAGAAGAAGAAGAAGAAGAAGAAGAAGAAGAAGAAGAAGAGAAGGGAAGGGAAGGGAAAAGGAAGGAAGGAAGGAAGGAAGGAAGGAAGGAAGGAAGGAAGGAAGGAAGGAAGGAAGGGAAAGAAAAAAGGAAGAAAGGTTAAATAAGCCAGGCATGGTTATGCAGGTTTACAATCCATGACACTCAAAGAGGCTGAATCAGAAGGCTGAATCTTAGAATTCTAAGATCATGGACTGCTTGGGCTACAGAGTAAGTTCAAGGCCAGCATGGCCAAATCAATGAGACTCTCTGAAAATAAAAAAATAAAAGGTTAGCCAGGCGATGTTGGTGCATGCCTTTAATCCCAGCACTCGGGAGGCAGAGGCAGGCAGATCTTTGTGAGTTCGAGGCCAGCCTGGTCTACAAGAGTCTCCAGGACAGGCTCCAAAGCTGCAGAGAAACCCTGTCTTGAAAAAACAAAAAAAAAGTCTAGAAAATATAGCTTAATGGTGAGACACTTTACCTAGCATGTATGAGACTTTGACTTCACTCTCCAATGCTGACAAAAAGCAAAAGCCATCCTAATTACAGGTGCCAGGCACAGGAGTTTCACATTAATATTCTCATGTATTCTGCACAGTATGAGATTCATGAGGAAACTGGATTATAAAGGTGGCGTAGACTTCCATTTCCAGGAAGTCAATAGGAAATGTATCTTCATCATTGCAAACAATTTATATTTCTGGACAAGGTGGAACTTTTCTTGAGACAGGGGTCTCTTTTGCCCCTGCCTCTTTACTGCTCAGATTACACAGATGTACTGAAACACCAGGCCTATGATATTTAAAATCATCATAAACCATTACACAATAAAGTAAAGAAATCTTAGGCCAGGCCTTGATTGAATAAAGGAACTAGAAAGGTAAAGCATGCACTCTTGACCTCAGGGATGCATGCAGATCTGAATTCCACAACACTGTGAGAAATGGGGCCAGAGGACTAAGTCCAGGGCTACACAAATCTGTGGCAGTCGAATGGGCCATTTCCGCCAGAGTTCTGGGATTCCCAAGGGTTGTGCCTTTGATGGAAGGGTAAATTAGATGTCATACACTCTTATTACACACATGCATGTAGACACGCGTGCATGCACACACACAAACTTACACCCACACACGCTCTCTCTCACGTCCACACACATGCACGCTCACACACACTCTCATGTTATTTCTCATGAGCCAGCAGGAAAGCTGACCACTTCCAATTTGGGCAAGAGTAGTATGGGAAGAAAGTAGTATGGGAAGAAATCGCCACTCTAAGTTTCAGACACATCAGTTCTCATGCAGATTTGTGGCCCAAATTCTGACTTCTTACATAGTCTGATAGGCTTCTGGCCAACAGTTTAATTCAGATTTGTCCCGGTTCAGACTGGTAATACCCTCAAGTATTCAGCAGAAAGCCTCTTAAAAGTTTTGTCTGACTGAAACACGACTATCAGCGTAAAGAGATGGCCTGGAAACTTCCAGTGGGGCGGAAAAGACCAGTCAAAGGAAGGAGGACACACACAGCACACACTTCCCGGGCACCACTAAAACAGAGGACGATGGGGAAGTGTCTTCAGGGATTTGAGGGAAAATCACACACACACCACCACCACCACCACCACCACCACCACCACCACCACCACCACCA